TTTTGTTATAAAATATTTAATGGAAATCTCAACACACATCATATTGTTTTAATATATAAAACCAATTAACAGAGATGAATAAACTACAAAATATAGTACTTTATAAAAAACAGATTGACAATCCTTAGCATATTTTTATAAATAAATTATATACCACACAATTAAAATATTTTATGTTCTTTTTTTATATCTATTTATATCTATATTTCTATGTATATCAAAAGAATTTATTATATATATAATATGTATATAATGCTTTTTTACTTTTTCCCTGTATATAAATAATTTGTATTGTAAATAAATATAATATACGAATAATATACGAATATTTTGTCCCAATTTTTCGTTGTCAATAAAATATCAAATAAAAGCTTAAAAACATATCAACTTAATCTACTTTGATTTTTTAAAATATTTATTTATGTTATTACATTATTCTTAACATAAAACATTGTCTAAACATAATAAAATTCGAAAATTTAATCATCTAATACAATTTTATGAGACAATATTTCTAATATTAAAAAATGCAAAATCATTGTATTTTTACGAGGTTATTCTATAAATTTAATGATATTATATATCGCGATCTATTTTTTGAGATATAAAAAGTATATGTATAAAATAAATATGTATAAATGAAAAATCTAATAATAATTCACAATCAGTATGTTAATAAATTTTATTTTATAATATAAGCTCTATGTATTTTCAAGTACAATAATACAATAAATTGACAAATAATGAGAAATCAAACAATTTCCTTTATTCATTGTAAAGCATTGGATTTATGAAATATTATATCTATCTGTAATAATACTTTTTGTTATAATTTGATACATGTATGTATAAATCTATATCTATCTGTCTGATGTATAACACACAGTCTATAACACAATTTTCAAATTTTCCGTACTTCAAAATAAAAAATATCATTTCATTCACCTCACAGTTGATCACTTCATCGTTTCTTGATTCTAAAAGCTATTCATTGCTATTCATAATTCGTTCTTATTTTAAAATCGTCTTAAGTAATGCCTTGAGATATGCTAAGATGCTAATATGACTTTCTAATTGATTCGTGACATTTTTTCTAAGATACTATACTTAAGACGGTCTTGAATATAAGAATCGACTATGAATACCGCCCTATCTCTTCTTCCTCCTCTTTTTTCTCCTTTTAATTTGTCAAAATACATTGCTTTCACACAAGAATTTCATTAATTAATTTTTAGACTCGCACGCGAACTCAGAATAATCATAAAGTTAACGCTTCGTACCTAAAACTTATCATAATTGCGTTTTGGAAAAATACGAAGATTTGTGGGACACATACATCGCGCACCTACCCACTTGAGTATCGGAAGTAAAATAATAATGCATCGACTGTGCGTAAACAAAGCACCGATTGCCGCACGAAAACAAAAATCAAGGCTGTGTATCGAACGGTCTTACTACGTCATATTTAACGGATTTTTAAATTCTAAATAATTTATTTGTTATCTAGTTATACTTTAAATATTTTTCGATAAATGGATTATTCCCATACACGGGTTTTTCTACCTTATTTCGTAATTCATCTATCTACATTAGATATATCTTACATATCTGATCCATTTTTTTCTACGTCCATATTTTTTCTATGTTCGATCTCAAAAAGTTACGATAAGTTAAAATTTTAAATGCGACAATACTTCTACAATAATTCAAACGTCCTTAAAGACATAATTGTTGCCCATTAATCTTAGCTATACACACTTTTTTCTACCCGTGATATATCTACATATTCTTTTTTCTATCTATGATATACTTACACACTCTGCTCTCTGGGACCTCATCTATATTTGTTACCATAACTTCTGTAAAAATGGACATATTTCAATACATTTTTTTTCAATCATGGAAAATTGATTAAGGAACAAATCCATAATGTATAAAAGTCGATAGAATTAAAGAACTTCGAGATATATAAGTTTAAAGAAAAAAAAAAATGCGAAAAATCTCAATTTAGCAAGTTTCTGGAACCCCAATATGTAAGATAAAAAATTATAATAAAAATGGCAAATCACGCGCTCGGCAGAACAGTTGTTACAATTTCTTTGTTCTCTTATAAATGTCATTTCGTATATATTTTTTTATTTATAAAAGTGCATGAGATTGTTTAAACAAAAAATTAATTTTTGTAAAGTTAAATGTAAATTTTTCATGTGTTCGCTTATTTTTATAATATAATTTTTATAATTGAAAAGACTTCATGTCCCAAGCTTAAACATTTAAATTAAAAAAATTTGTTGGCATATATTTTTTTATTAAAATATGAATCTTAAACTTTATTTTCCATTTATAATTATTATTTCATTGATTTGTTCAAAAATAACAAAGTTTTGAACATGTCTCTATCGTACTCACATTTGTGTTTATAATTCGCAAAAATAAAACATTTAAACAAATAAATTTGTTAAATTGTGTATAAAACCTGTTAAGCAAACTACATGAATTTTTTAATATTTTTTTGAACTACATAATTCATTTAAAAAAATACACCGAACACAAACTCCGTTTACACTAAACAGGTAATACAAAAACATTTACACGATGAGGATTAATTCTGCTTGAGCACAGTGTTTTGCAAGCTGAGAAGAGTCTATACTGTTAGTGGAATCTTAATTCGATAAAAATATTAGATATATAGAGGAAAGGCTATTATGAGATATCGAGTTCATTTTGGATAAATGCTAAAGGTCTATGGGAAGAATTTTAAAAAAATAATATATCATTTGAAGGGAATTTAATAAGCTTTAAGATAACGTTATATAAAATATATATATATATATATA